GACGACGGTCAACCGACTGCCAACCCCGACCTCATAAATGCGACTTTTCCTCTGACCAGGCCGGTGTAGGACTACAACACGGCAGAAGGTAAAGGACGGCTACACCTTTATCGCCAGACTCTAATGGCGGGTCTCCGGGCAGCTGCTCGCAAGCCCACTAATTTGGCTAAAGTATACTCTGTTCTGCAAGGAAAGACAGAAAGCCCAGCTACCTACTTAGAAAGATTAATGGAAGCTTTTAGACAGTACACCCCCATAGACCCAGAGGCTCCAGGAAGTCAGGCAGCTGTTGTAATGTCTTTCGTAAATCAGGCGGCCCCAGACATTAAAAGAAAACTCCAGAAATTAGAAGACTTAGAGAGAAAGCGGATTCAGGACCTCCTTCAGATAGCCCAGCAGGTTTACAATAACAGAGATACTCCAGAGGAAAAGCAATTTAAGGCCACTGAAAAAATGACCAAGGTCCTGGCAGCAGTAGTACAGAAAGAGCATCTACAGCCAGACAACACCCAACCTAGGCGGTCCCCCAGACATGATAATCTAAGCAAAGACCAATGTGCATACTGTAAGGAAGCTGGCCACTGGGTAAGAGACTGCCCTAAAAAGAAACAATGAGGACAGGGACCCCCTAGGTCTACACCCGTACTAGTCACTCAAGACGAAGACTAGGGAAGACGGGGTTTGGACCCCCTCCCCGAACCTAGGGTAACTTTGCAAGTGGAGGGGTCCCCAGTCCAGTTCTTGGTCGATACGGAAGCACAGCACTCAGTCCTAGTTAAAACTAATAGAAAATTATCCTCCAAGTCCTCGTGGGTACAAGGGGCCACAGGAGTTAAGAAATACCCATGGACAACACAAAGAACAGTAAACCTCGGAGCCAGGAATGTAACCCATTCTTTCCTGGTCATCCCTGAGAGCCCCTGTCCCCTATTAGGGAGAGACCTGCTAACTAAAATAGGGGCACAGATCCATTTCCTTCCTGAGGGGCCCGTCGTGACCAACTCCCAAAATCAGCCCGTGTCCATCCTGACTATAACCCTAGAAGATGAGTACCGGCTCCACCAGGAGCGAGCGGCCCCTGACCAGGACATAGCAAACTGGCTCCAACAATATCCAGGAGCTTGGGTGGAAACGGGGGGCTTAGGACTAGCAAAACACCGTCCTGCCTTGTTTGTTGAACTCAAACCTAGGACAGACCCCGTTCAGGTATGCCAATACCCGATGCCCCTAGAGGCCAAAGAAGGGATTGCTCCACATATTCGCTGGCTCCTCGACCAAGGGGTCCTTCGCCCATGTCACTTGCCCTGGAATACTCCATTGTTGCCAGTACAAAAACCTGGTAGCGGAGAATACAGACCTATACAAGACTTGAGAGAAGTCAATAAGAGGGTTATGGACATACATCCAACTGTGCCTAACCCGTACACCCTCCTGAGTACCCTAAACCCTAAACATCAATGGTACACTGTTTTAGATTTGAAAGATGCTTTCTTCAGTTTGCCTTTAGCCCCTCAGAGCCAAAAGCTCTTCGCCTTCGAGTGGACTGACCCTGAGAAGGGCATAAGTGGCCAGCTGACATGGACCAGGCTGCTGCAGGGATTCAAAAACTCTCCTACCCTGTTCGATGAGGCCCTCCATGAAGACGTGGGTGAGTACCGACGCAAACACCCTGATATAACCTTACTACAGTATGTTGATGACCTCCTGATTGCTGCTGAGACCCAAGAAGCTTGTATTCAAGGGACCAAGGGTCTCTTACAAGCTCTAAGGAATCTAGGCTACCGAGCCTCGGCAAAAAAAGCTCAAATCTGTAAATCAGAAGTAACTTATCTGGGGTACCTGCTTAAAGGAGGGCAGCACTGGTTAACAAACGCCCAGAAGCAGACTGTTCTGCAGATCCCCAGACCACAATCCACCCGACAAGTAAGGGAATTCCTGGGGTCGGCGGGATTTTGTACACTATGGATACCTGGGTTCACAGAGCTGGCTAAGCCCTTGTATCAGGCAACATGGGGGCAGCAGCCATTTAATTGGACAGAAGAAGCCAAGTCGGCTTTCCAACAGATCAAAACCGCCCTACTCTCTGCGCCTGCACTAGGACTACCTGATGTCACCAAGCCCTTCCACTTATACGTGGACGAGAGCAAGGGAGTCTTGCAGACATAATCTTCCAACAGAGAATTTCCCTGGGAACCCAGAGGGAAGAGAAGAGGCTCAGGCAAAATGGACTAAATACATAGCAACAGTGATAACATCATACACTGTCACGGTGCTATGTGTTAGTCTGTGTCTTCAGCACTTTAAAAATATGAATTCATTTAATTCTCACAACATCTGTATGTGGTGCTTTCCATTTTCAGGTGATACAATAGGAATGAAGGTCGCCACGGTGGAGCTGGGTTTGCATGCAGACAATTCTGACCCGGGGTCATGCTCACGTCTCTGCATTATCCAGAATGTGCGGGTGGGTGGAGAGTCCAGCTCAGGGAGACAGATTGGAGAGACAGAAGAATAAGAAGAGAGGGCAGAGTGGATCACTCTGATGGTTCTGGGGCTCCCCTTCCAGGAGAGAAGACGACAAAAATTATGTCACCATCAAGGAAAATATCCAGTCTCTGGCTTAAACCTGAGTATCTCCAGTTCTGGGACAGGTGGCTGGGCAGGGAAGACAAACTAAGCCAAGGACCCAGCGCTGAAGAGTTTCCTCTCATGAGAATTCTGCAGGAGTTTCCCAGCCCTCATGGCCACCTCTCATACTTTGCTCTTGTTTTTCCCCCAGGACTGATGAGGGCGTTGTATCTGGTTTCCACTGGGGTCTAGAGAAGTCATCAGAGTGAGTGGAGAATGGGCTTCAAAAAGTGGGAGATCTCCAGGATTCTCTCTGGACTCCAAGATACCCAGAGAAGCCGGATGCCGCGTCCCGGAACCCCCTACCCCTGCTCCTCTGTGGGGCCTGACCTTGGGGAGACCTGGGCTGGTGAGGAAACGATCAGGATGAACTGGGGCTGAGGAGGCAGGAGTGAAAAGGCGACCTTCAGGGCTCAGCAGCTCCCCCGCGCGGCGCCTTGGCCCAGGGCTGGGGTCTGCAGACTCCTCAGGTCATTTCTCCAGGCGCCGATGTCCCATGCCACCCTCCCCAGGTCCCCGTTCCTTTGTCCCCTCCCCAGCTCCTCCCACACAGTAAGAAGCTCTTGGGTGAGCGGCTCGGGGGCCGGGTGGGACGTGGGAGGGAGCCCGGGAGGCTGGGTCCTTGCGGGGAGGCGGAGCGAGCGCGTCTCGGAGACTAGGAGCGGATGGGGACCCCAGGGGAGTGGGCCGGGGTCCCAGGCTCCTTGCGCCTCTCCCGCCCCCAAAGTGCCCCTTCCCAGGGTCCAGGCCCGGATTCCCGGGTACTTGGAGGCCACCAAACTCCACCTCCACCGCTCGAGCCCTGGAATCCTCAGTGGCGCCTTTGTGGGCGACACGCGGTTTCTGCGCTTCCACAGCCGCAACGAGGATCAGAGCGTGAAGCCGCGGGCGCCGCGGGTGGAGAAGATGGGATAGGACTGTGGGCGCCCTGAGGAAAGCTGTCGATGACCGCAGGGAAGTGTTACTGAGGGCCCTGAGGTTCCTGGGCCGGCACCACCCATGCATGTGTGCCGTGTGTTCATGTCTCATTTTCAGCTTTTCATGCCTTATTCTGACCATGCCACATTTTCCCCTCAGTTGAACAGACACGATAGGGGACTCACCCATTCTGGAATGTGACCATCTGCCCTTCAGGAGAGGACAGCAGTGTGGGTGGTACATGGCACCATATTCAAGCTTACATACATGGCATTTGATGTCGGGACAAGGAAAAATACTGAGGCACTGTGTGCATGTTATTTGTGCAAGAGAACGTAACTCCTTGGCCCTGAAATCAGGACAAGGAGTGGAGTGTGTGAAGGAACACTGAAAACAGCCTCCTGAGAATGTGGTTTGAGTGCTTTTACAAGGTCACAGGTATCTCATGACCCAACCTCAAAAAGCCATCTAGTGGATGTTACTAGTTTAACAAGCCCTTTCAGTAAATACTTGGTGGAGGGATGCTGGGGCACTCTCTCAGAAGAGTTGTCCCCCATCCCGCTCAGCTGGAATTGTCTGAAAACTCATTCTTGGTGTTCAGTGCAAGATATAAGCTTTGCAAGCAGAGTAGCGGTGAAGGAGACCATACTACCCCCACCCCTGACGTCGTCTTCTCCCACCCCCTGGTTTCCCTCTTCTGCATCAGCACCACTCCTGATTGTCAGAATGTTTAACATAGCTAAACATGAAACACAAGTGCATCTGCATTATGTGTGGGTGCTCTCTCATTTTATTGTATTTGGGGTGAGGTTATTTTAGGGCATGGTCCAGGGTAAATTCCTGTAAGGCCTGGGTGCCCTGCTGTGAGGTCAAAGGGGGATGGGACCAAGACTGCAGAGCCCTGGCTCCCCAACTACCTGCCAATTGCCAGCCCTTTGTGGAGGTCTCTTCTGCTTTCCCAGGCCTGGGAGAGGCTTGGGTGTTTCTGATCCTGGGGTTCCTGTGGGGGGCGGTGGGCAGTATTTCCAGGGATGGAGGGTGCAGGGGGCATCGGTGGGAAGCTTGGGTGTCTGCTCCCAGGTTCTCTCAGTGCCTCTTCATGTTTTTTCAGCTTTTGGATCTTGAGCACCAGAGCCTGGGCCCACCACCCCCTCCTGCCCTTCCAGCAGGGCCTGGTCCAGCTCCAGCTGCTGCTCTAGCAGTTCCTCAGCTTTGGCCAGCTCAGCTTGCTGGGGGCTCAGGATCCTGGTGAGAGGGAGTGGGGGAGGGAACATCAGCCAGGGAAGGGGGCTGAGGCCTTAGGAAGCTGCGTTGCAGGGTCTGGCTGCAAGTGAGGAATTCAGCCTCCCTTTCTCTTTTTCCAGCCCATTAGCTTAAGTCCACCTGTACCGAGAAGTCCAGGGAACTCCCTGTCTCGGGCATAGGCCTCTGCAGGGCAGGTTGAGATCGCTGGATCAGGATTGTAACTGGACGCCTTCAACAAGGATATGGGGTCACTGGAAAAAGATGACTGACTGTCCCTCCCCACTAAGAAATAATTAACTGTTCGATGAGGGGTTATTCCTGTTCAAGAAAATCTCTGGACTGTGCTGCTCTGAAGGGGACGAGGTCTGGGCTGGGCTAGGGTGGGAAGGAGCTGAGAGCTGGAAATAGGCAAAACGCTGCAGGGGTGAGGGTGGTGAAGGGTGGGATTGAGAGGTTTTCCCCCACTCCTGTGCTGACCCCCTTCACCTCCTCCACTCGCGCCCTTGCAGTGACATGGGAGCTGGCCTTATCTTCCCACTGCCCCTGAAGCTGTTTGCTCTTCCATGCTTGCCTTTGGGCTCTGGGAGTAGCATGTTTAGGAGCCGTGGGGTCCCAGGGACCAGGAGGGCAGGAGGGGAAGGAAACAGCACCGCCAGAGCCAAGGGAGAAGGAGGCAGTGGCAGGTGAGGCAAGGAGCTGTTTGAGCCACTGAGCAGCCACCAGGAGCCGGCTCTCTCCAGGCCTGTCTTCACTTCAGTGCCTGGCCCTGCCCAGAACCCTACTCCTGCTCTGCTCTCAACCTGGCCTCAGACAGGATCTTGAAAAACTCCTATTCCTAATGTGAAAAATGTTTCTACCAGTTTAGGCAGAACTTGCTTCAGAGCACTGGTGCCCAGCCTTCCACAGGTCGTGTCTGCTTTTCTTGACACAGTGTCTTTTTTCATTTATTCTTCTGCGAGGAAGGAATTATATCACTGGTTTGCGGATGAGGAAATTCATTCAGCACTCACCCACTGGCCAAGTGTCTGCTTGCGCCAGCTGTGGTCAGATGTACTCAAGGCTCTATAGCTAACTGGTGGAAAGGCCTGGAGGGCTCATATTCAGGTTCACTTAACTCGAAAACTCATATTGACCTTATTGAAGTACTGATTCCGGCTTTGCAATCCATGCCACAAACTTCATTGTCTTGTTTTAAGAAATTGTCACAGAAGCCTCTAGGAACCACCTCCTGATCAGCCAGCGGTCATCAACATTGAGGCAAGACCCTCCCCCAGCAAAAAGATTAAGATGAGCTGAAGCCTCAGACGATCGTTAGCATTTTTCAGCAATAGAGTAATTTTAAATTAATGTATCTGCATAGTTCTTTTACACATAATGTTATTATACATTTAGTAGGCTACAGTAGAGTATAAATATAATTTTTATATTCACTGGAAAAACAAAAATTTGTGTGACTTGCTTTGTTGCCATGGTCTGTGATCTGAAAGCAAATCTGCAGTGTCTCAGATGTATGTCCATAATTTCCCTTTCCCTCTTCTTGCGGCCTAGAATGAACTTGTTTCTTGTCCCTGTCTAGCCCTGCATGCTGTAGGGGTTTGCCTTCTCTGGTAGGTCTGGGAACATTGTATCCCTTGTAACCTTGGCTCCTGGCATATGACACTGGTACCAAGCTCTGTTGGACTAGTGAGCCTCCCCACACACCTCCTAAACGAGAGCAAGAGCTCTGTGCACACACCAAGCATATGTGAGCCTGTGAGGAGATGCCGCGTTCCTGAAGGGTGTTCTGAAGGGGTTTTCTGTTGTGACTGGAGGACACAGCCATGAGCCCGCGGGCAGAGGTGGCTCAGAAGGAAGTGGATGGCCCCAGTTTTGATAATCTGGGAACAGGAAGATTCTCTGATAAAAACCCATGTTTTAGAAGACAAAACTGCCCAAGAGTGGACAGCAGCTAACCAGTTTGTTATCTGAGACATCGCTGTGCACTGGGAGGGAAGATGGCCTCTGCCATGGGGTAGGGGTACTGGACCAAGACAAGGAGGCCTTCCTAGGGGGCAGTGATTCTTCGAAGCACCTTTAAATGAGGACAAAGACCTCATGTTCATCATTAGCTGACTTGTACCCACTGAGTGGAAAAAGAAACCAGAACTTTTGCAAAATTTTAGGAGAGGGAGACTGTCCGTCTTGTCTCTTAGTCCTAGGGTTATGCATGACTCATACTTGAATTGCAATGTGTACACAGCTTAAAGTCTTAATTATTAGAATATAAGACACCCAAACTACTGTTGTTACAGATAAGGTTAAGCAACCCACAACCAACTAACTACATTTGTAAATTTAAAACAAGATTGGCAGTCACTTAGAAAAACAAAACAAAACAAATGAGACTTTTGCAAGACAATCTAAATGGTACACTACTAACAACCCTTCATGAAAGTGACGTTTCAACCATCTGAGTTTCTGCTTTAAGTTATGGACTCCAAAATGGACTAACTGCCAATAATTTACAGTAGGGAGCCCTAAGCCACAAAGAGAGGTGTCAGGGCAGACCTGAGACCTGGAGGGAGCACATCCCCTCCCTCAGGGTCACCAGTGAATCTTCTAAGCCTGCTCCTCCATCAGACACTCCATCCAGTCATCAGGAGGTCAAGAAAAGTTCCCATAGCACTAAGACCTAACCACCTCACTGTCCTCATCTCCATGGACAGAGCCCAGCTGAGAGCCACCCCTGCTCCTCCTCCCTCGTCTCCCACAGCCTTAGCACCACCGTCTGCCTCGAGTCCACCAGGACCGAGCTCCTCCTGTCATTTCCCTGTCTGTGTCAGTCACACTGGGTCCCCCACATACCCTGTACTCACATCCCCACAAGGCTCTGCACAGCCCTATTCTGTCTCCCCCACCTCCCCAGTCACAGAAATCTTTCCAGTGTACCCCATGGCATTCTCAGTCCACAATCAGCAAAACCTCCACACCTTCTCTCAGGATATGCCTGCCCCTCCCAGCCCCAGCAGCAACCTGAGTCTCCCTGAGGACATGACCCCCTCCGAAGTCCTCCCACATCGGGGAGTTTCCCCAGGGACTTGTCTCCCTGGGTTCAGAGGTGAGGTGGGGTTCTTGTTCTTGCTCCTCACTGTGGGTCTCAGACCTTTCTGCCTTCCGCCTCCCCAAAACCCCTAAGCTGTCATCAGATTAGGCCCCCATTTCCTCATTGTAACCATTCCCTGTAGGCCCCAGACCATTCCTCTCAATCCTGATGATTGTAGCTGCTGCTTCACTGTCACCCTCTCCAGCAGGGCTGTCTCCTTGACTCGGTGACTTCAACATACGCAGATGTGCTGGGCTGAGTAATGGTCCCCAAAGGTGTCCAGTCTTAATCCTTGGAAGCTGTGAACAGGTTGCATTGCATGGCAAAAGGTACGTTACTCATGTAATGAAGATTAAGGACCTTAAAATAGGGAGACTATCCTGGACTATCTGTGTGGGCCCAATCAAATCACATGAGCCATTAAAAGTAGAGAAACTGCCCTGGCTGGAGTCAGATTCTGCAGAGGAGGAAGCAGAGGAGATGCCAGCCCTCCCCTGGCCCAGAGCAGCACAGTCCAGAGTCCTTGAACAGGAACTCCCCCTCATCTAACAGTTAATTATTTGTCAATGGGGAGAGACAGCTGGTCCTCTCTTTCCAGTGACCCCATGTCTTCGTTCAAAGCATCCAGATACAGCCCCTGAGCCAGGGATCTGTATATGCACCCCAGAGGCCTATGCCCAAGACAGATTACTCCCTGAGATTCTCAGTACAGGTGGACTTAAGCTAATGGGCTGGAAAAAGAGAAAGGAAGGTAGAATTCCTCACTTACCACGAGACCTTGCAATACAGGTTCCAAGGGCCTCAGCCCCCTGCCCTGGCTGATGCTCCTCCCCTACTCCCTGTCACCAGGGCCCTGAGCCCCAGACACAGCTGAGCTGGCCCAAGCTGAGGAGTTGCTTGAGCAACAGCTGGAGCTGGACCAGGTCTTCCTGGAAGGGAACGAGTGGGTGGCGGCCCAGGCCCTGGTGCTCAAGATCCAAAAGCTAAAGAAACAGATGAGGAGGCACTGAGAGAGCCTGGGAGGAGAGAGCCTGGGAGGAGACACCCAAGCTTCCCACCAGTGTCCACAGCACCCTCCATCCCTGGAACTAATGTGCACCACCCCCCAGGAGCCCCAGGATCAGAAACACCCCAGCGTCTCCCAGGCCAGAGAAAGCAGAAGAGACGCCCACAAAGGGCCGGCAATTGGCAAGTAGCGGGGGAGCCAGGGTTCTGCAGTCTTAGTCCCATCCCCCTTTGACCTCACAGCAGGGCACCCAGGCCTTACAGGAATTTACTCTGGACCGTGCCGTAAAATAAACTCACTCCAAATACAATAAAGGGAGAGAGCACCCACACATAATGCAGATGCATTTATGTTTCATTTTTAGTTATGAGAAAATTCTGACAATCAGGAATGGGGGTTCAGGAGTGGTGCTGATGCAGAAGACGGAAGCCAGGGGGTCGGGGAAGAGGATGTCGTGGTGGGGTCAGTAGGGTCTCCTTCATCCCCAACCTGCTGTCCCCTCTTGAAGGGCAGTCACATTCCAGAATGGGTGAGTCCCCTACTATGTCTGTTCAACTGAGGGGAAAATGTGGCATGGTGAGAATAAGGCATGAAAAGGAAGAAATGAGGCAGGAACACATGGCACACCTGCAGAGGCTGGTGTACTGTATGGGTTCAGAGGACGGAGTCGGGAGTGGGGGAAGAGATGTAATATGATGAAAGAAAACAGAGACCCCACATAAAGGTCAGAAAAACATCCCAACACAGCATCAAAGACCAGGGTGCATGAACCAACCAAGTGTCCATTATGCATCAGGTGCCCATGACCTACATGACAGGATTGAAGACAAACATATTAAGGAACTAGGAGGACCTAAAGGGTTTCATGAGATCGGCACTCACTATGGTGGAGACGTCTGTCTCCTCAGGCAGCTCCTAACACTGACCTCAAAGCAGTGCTGCCCATACTGAAGATCCTGGCATCATTGACACCTAACACAAACATGATGACCAAGCCCTGTGCCACCTGGAAGGAGACAGAGGGCAGGACTAGAAGACCCCAAAGAGGGAAGACTCCCAGAGGGAGGGATGAGGATGTAAAATGTGAAAAGATACAGAAAGTAAGGAGGTGGGAGAGTGGGTGTCCCTCTGGGTGTGGGGCTCACCTGATGCAGGTAGGTCTCAGAATCCTCTTGCATGTCATAGGTAAAGGCAATGCTCATTTGCTCCCTGTCCATGGCTCAGCCAAATCAGTTGGTAGTCAACAAATTGGTCTTATCTTTTGGGGTCATTCTCCAGCAAGTGCAGAACTGTAAAAAAATTTAGTCACCTGAGGTGCATTCCTTGGCTTCCTGGCCAGTTTTCCCAAGGCCTCCACTGCCACCACGCACCCTGGGTGCCCTCCATACTCTCCAAGTGTCCAGATGGGTGTGAGGAGTAAAGGCCAGGAATAACTATTGGATGGTGGTTTGAGGTGCCTTTTTCCACCTCTGCAGGTGGCAAAGTGTGAATTCATAAAGTGGCATTGAAGAGATCTCTGCCCTTTGTGAACAGTTGTTTGGTCACCCACAGTCATGGCTGAGCCCTGAGAAGGAAGATAAACTTGTCTAGAAAAAGTAATTGTCCTGACTCTTAAATAGACTTTCTGGTCTGCGTTTTATTTCAAGTGACTGGGAAGGGATAGAGTGTGAGGTTCAGGAGAGAAGGAGAGGTCTGTCTTGATGCCTTGACACAGCACAAAGAAATCTCCCCTCCTCCCCCACATCTCCCTGTCAGTTCTCAGTGAGGGACAGATTCACAGCAATACAGAAAGGGCTGGGAAGAGATGGGGGACATCTGGGGCCAGTGTTCAGGGGCTGACCCTGTGGGGGACACCTGCTTGCAGAGTTAGAGCCCACATGGGATGATGTAGCGCTGAAGGGTGATATCAGGGAGGGGATGGAGAGTGCTTTGTGGTTTCCTGATTATGAAGAGTAGAGGTCAGCCTGCTTCTTGGGTGAAGTGACTGCTGGGGAGATTGGATTGAATTAATGAAGAATAAATGAACAGGGAATGAGGATGAGTAAAGCAAGCATCAGTATCTCCTGCCATCAGTTCAGACTGATTGGGGAAGTGGGAGAGTTACTGACCCTGTTGCGTGATTCCTCCTAACTTCCTGGTCTTGGGGGCACAGGTGGGTGGTGCTGTTCTTGGTCAGGGCAGCCTCAGCTCCACCCAGGTAAGGCAGTGGAGGCAGAGAGAGTTAGGGGAGCACCTGTGAAACAGACCAAGGCAGGGTGGGAGCCCTCTGTGCAGCACCAGTGGATGCAGGACCTGCCTGGAAGCAAGAGGATGAGATGAGGGAACCTAGCTGGGTCCTGTTCCCTGCCTGCCTGTGTTCACAGGGTAACCAGTAAGGGAGATGGGGTAGGGAATTTGTTCATAAGCTATCTATCCAGGGATGTGTTTATAGGCATATTCGTTCATGTTTATATTCAGGTTTATTGTCACACAGACATTTGTCCATGCATGTTTTATGTTTAAGTTACTTTAGAATGGCTCAGTCACAAAATCTTAATCTCTTCATTCCTGCTGCCTCTCTCTACACACACATACACAGACACACACACACGCTATGCAACATATCTCCCTGTATCTACAAAAAGAGATATTACTTTATTTTACAATTTTTAGATTCGTATGTATTCATGGGGCACAGGTGCAGTTTTGCTACACTGCTATATTGAGTTGCGGTAAAGTCAGGGCCTTCAGTGCATCCGTCACTGCAGACAGATACATTGTACCCAACAAGAAACCCCTCTGTTATACACCCACCGCCAGCCACCCTTACCCTTCTGAGTCTCTATTGTCTATCATTCCACATGCTGCTCTCATGTATATAAAGAGATATTAATCAAATATATCAGAGTGATAACTTGAATTTTACTGCACTATTCTTTCAGCTTCTTGGCACATTTGAAAATTTGTACAATTACAAGTTGGAAGAATGAGGGGAAAAAGAGAGAGAGAGAGCGCTGAGTTGGAATAGGTTAGCAGTTGTGTCCCACTAGGAACCATAATTGATCTTTGCCATTTTGAAGGTGTGTCCGCTGAGCTGCCTTCAGAGAGTCCAGGAGGGAAACCTGTTTTCACAGAAATACCAAGATGCCATCTGCCTGTTTCATTATGTTGACTTTTCCATGAATGCTGCAAATGCCATGGTAGGTAACAAACCCAGCACCTCGGCAGAACCAAGGCAGTATCATCAACTTGCATTCCCACTCAAGAATGTCTTTGATGGAGCAGTAAAAAATTTATGTTCATTAAATTTGGATCCTTGAGTACATGTCTTTAATATTCTTTGTTTGAAAATGGGAAATACGCATAACACGCTTATTGCACAGATAAGCAAGATGGTAGCCTTGAGAAAGGGCACTTGTGTGACTCAGTTACGAATTCAAACAGCAGATCTCATTCACCCACTGAAAGACAATTGCATTATTTTGAGTTTGGGGGTATTATGAATAAAGCTGCAAGAGTATTTGTGTACAGGTTTTTCATGAACTTTAAGTTTTCCCTTGTTTGAAATAAGTGCCCAGGAGGGCAATTGCTAGTCATATAGTAAATTACATGTTCAGTTCGAAGAAAAATGCAATATCCATTTCCAGAGTGGCTGTACCATTTTCAAATACATCCCTACCAGCAATATAAGAGTGAGCCAGTTTCTCTGCATCCTTGCCAGCACCCGTTGTTACCTTTATTTTGTATTTCAGCCATTCTCATCATTGCAGTTTTAATTTGTATTTTCCTACTGAATAATGATGCTGAGCATCTTTGCATCTGCTTATTAGTCTAGTGCTTATCCTCTTCAGTGAAACGTCTGTTCATGTCTTGCTCATTGCCTATTTTGTAATTGGATTTCATTTTTTACTGTTGTTTTTAAATTTCTTCATATATTCTGAATACAGTCTTTACAGAATATGTTGTCTGTAAATATCTTCTCTCGTTCTGTAGCTTGTCTTTTCAGCTCTTCACAGGTCTCTCACAGAGCAACAGTTTTTAGTTTAGATAAGATCCAATTTATTAACCTTTTCTTTTATGGATCATACTTTCGGTGTTATGTCTAAGAACTACTTGTCCAGTCTTAGTTCTGATGACTTTTTCTTCAAAGGTTGTAATCAAAAATTTTTAATTTATTATGTATTTTAGAAAAAAAGTCTTGCCTAGGCTGTCCTTGAACTCCTGGGGTCAAGGAATCCTCCCACCTCAGCCTCCCGAGTAGCTGAGAGTACAGGCCTGTGACACGACGCCTGACTCAACGTTTGTAATTTTAACTGTGTGTTTTACATTAAAGCTTTTGATTCATTTTGAGTTATTTTTTGTACAAAGATGAGGTTTGGGCTGAGGTTATTTTTTTCCACTGTGGTTGTCCAGTTGCTCCAGCACCATTTGTTAGGAAAGCTCTCCTTCCTTCATTGAATTGCTATTGTGCTTTGTAAAAGTCAGTTGAACATATTTGTGTATTTTGCTCATTTTTAGTTGAGTTGCTCATCTTCTTACACTGAGTTTAATAACTTGTCACATTCTGGATACAGGTTCTTCATCACAAATGTAATTTGTGATAAATTGTGAAATATTTTCTCCCAGTCTATGGGTTGTCTTCTCATATTCTCGACATCTTTGGAGAGCTGGAGTTTTAAATTTTAACTAAGTCCAATTTCTCTCTCTCTCTCTCTTTTTTTATTTGTAGATCATGCTTTTGGTATTTTATCTAAGAATCTTTTGCCTAAGTACCCAAAGTCACAAAAATTTTCTCCTGTATTTTCTTTTAGAAATTGTATAGTTTTGCCGGGCATGGTGGCTCACGCTTGTAATCCCAACAGTTTGGGAGGCTGAGACAGTTGGATCACGAGGTCAGAAGATCGAGACCATCCTGGCTAACGCGGTAAACCCCATTTCTACTAAAAACACAAAAAATTAGCCGGGCGTGGTGGTACTTGCCTGTAGTCCCAGCTACTCAGGAGAGATTGGACAAATCTGAACTGCTGAGTTCCATTTCTTTATACAAGAAAGCACACTTTATAGCCTTAAACTGCCAACAATGCACAAGGAGATGTCCGCCTCAGAAGAAAACTTTGATAGAAAATTGAAATAGTCAATTAAAACATTGATTGTCTAAAAACTCCCAAAATAATTGTTGGGCAATATAAACATGAAGGACTGGCTTTTATATCTCCATGAATGCGCTCACTGTCAACATGGGTGGAGCTGCAAGAGTGACTCCAGTAGATAGCTCCCTCTCTTTGTCCTGATGGATCAGGACACTGCTGTTATGACTATACATACAATTCTTCCTAAGGGGAGACGATGCTGGAATAATGACTACACTTCACCTCAAATTTCTTTTTTTATATGTGATGCCGTGGTATCAGGAATAGGGATGTAAATAAAAGTGCCAGAAACAGGAATTATCCCTAAGCCAAAAACCATAACTATACTTTTACACCTTTATGTAAGAATTCTCAAGCATTCATTTCACCTGGCAAAGTTAGTATTAACAGTAAGTAGAGCTACATAGCCTGGTGGTCAGATAGCCGCCACTAGTTCCTTACCTATGTAACCTACCCTCTATGATCAAGAGTAGACTTAGGGAAGACATTCTAGAATACTACTGCTGCCTGCGATCTAGACCAGCACAGCAGACAAACCAAATGTCACTTCCAAACCTGGAAAAGACTGATATAAAGGGACAGAGGGAGGAATAGTGGCTGAGGGTAAGTGAATAAGTCAAAGGGTTATATGAGAAAAATTCAATATTAGTTTAACTCCTCAAAGATGGTGTGAGCAAGACAGATATTTTCTCTTAGGTCAATTATACTGGATGCCTAAAAGTGTGAAGCCATAGGTCCCTGAGACCATTCTTGTTTTTGGAACTTGGTAAGATTGAGTGGTGTCTGCAAACCTGAGTGACGTCATTCTGGGAGACATATTCTTACAAGAGGATGGTGAACTGTTCTAATTTTGAATGACTGAAGGAGACTCTGATAACATGACAATACCTCTTTACTGTTATAATCCTTTTTCCTATAAAAGATATGTAGTCAAAGAAAAGCGGGTAATCTGAAGTATAACAAAAACATTTAGTCTTTGTCCCTGGTTTCTTCTAAAAACCTTAGACTCTTGAGTGATAAGAGTGTCTTTAGAGTACTGATGAGAAAACTCTTGTCTGAGCAGATCCTGGATATCTTGAGAATGGGGGCTGGCTGCCAGAGACACATACCTGTGATGAGAAAGTTGTCTTATTCCATATTGTGTTGCTATAAAGAAATGTCTGAGACTGACTAATTTATACAAACAAGGTTCATGTGGCTCAGGATTCTGATGGCTGGAAATGTTTGAGCATTCAGTGAGGGCCTCAGGCTGCTTCCACTCATGGCAGAAGGCAAAGGGGGGCTGGTATGTGCAGAGATCACACGGTAACAGAGGAACAGAGAGAGTAGGAAGTTGCCAGGCTCTTTTTAACAACTAGTTCTCATGGAAAATAATAGAGCAACAATTCATTCACTCCATAGAGAGGGCAGCATCTCTCTGTTCATAAAATATTGGTCCCCATGACTCAAATGCCACCCATCAGGCCCCACGTCCCACAACGGGCATCAGATTTTAACATGAGGTATCAGGGGATAAATATTTATACCACTGCATCCTGTCCCTAGTCAGCCAAAGCTCGTATTCTTCTCACATTGCAAAATACAATAATATTCTCCCAATTGTCCCAAATGTGTTAGGTTGTCCAGCATCAACTCAAAATTCCAGAGTCTCATCTGAGATTCAAGGTAAGTTCTTTAAGCTTTCAGCCTACAAAATTTAGAAAAATGTTATTTTCTTTCAAAATATTAATACAAGAGTGGAAGAGACATTTCTTATACATTTCCATTCCAAAAGGTATAAATGGGCCAAAAGAAATGAATGCGGTTTCCTCACAAGTTTGAAACTCATCATGGCAGACATTAAAAACTTAAAGCTCTAAAATAATCTCCTTTGACCCTATATTTTGAATCCTGAGCACACTGGCTAGAGCATATGCTGGGCTCATAATGCCATTTGCAGCCCCACATTTATGGCTTTGCTGAACATAACCCATATAGCTGCTCTCATGGGTGAAAATTGAATGCCTATGGCTTTTCCAGGCTGAGGTTGCACATTGCCAGTGGCTCTACCATTTAGTAGTCATGGCAGGGGTCCTGCTGCTGCAGCTCCACTAGGAATTGTCCTGGGTATTAAATTTCTCCTTTAAATATCTGTTCTGGTTTCTTTGCTCACACATATGTGCATAGGTTATTACAAGCAGCCAGGCCAAATCTTGAATACTATGCTGCTTAGAAATTTCTTTTGTCAGATACCCTTAATCATCACTCTCAAGTTTAAAGTTCCACAGATCCCTAGGGAGGGGGCAGAATGCATCCAAGTTCTTTGCCAATGCATAACAAGTGACTTTTACTCTAGGCCCCAGTAAGTTCCTCATCTCCATCTAAGACCTCATCAGTCTGGACTCTATTGTCCATATCACTATCAGCATTTTGGTCACAACAACTTAACAAGTCTCTACAAAGTTCCAAATTTCCACTCATTTTCTTGTCTTCTCAACTCTCCAAACTCTTCCAACTTCTGCCTGTTACCCAGTTCCAAAGACATTTTCACATTTTCAGCTTCCTTTATAGTAATATGCAAATCCTGGTGCCAACTTTCTGAATTAGTTGATTCTCACACTTTTATGAAGAAATACCACAGAGTTGGTAATTTATAAAGAGGTGTAAATTGGCTCATGGTTCTGCAGGCCATATAGGAGTGTGATTCTGGCATCTGCTTAACTTTTGAGAGGGCCTCAGAAAACTTTCAAGCATGCTGAAAGGTTAAGGGGAAGCAGGCATGACTGACTTGCCTGGAGCAGGAGGGAGAGAGAGCAGCGAGGTGCCACACACTTTCAAACACCAGATCTTGTGAGAACTATCACAAGAACAGCATCAAAGAGATGGCTCTAAACCATTCATGGAGGATCCACCCCCATAAGCCAATCACCTCCCATCAGGTGCCACCTCCAACATTAGGGATTACAAGTGGACATGGGATTTGGGTGGGGACAGAGATCCAAATGATATCAGGGGTCATAGTGGACATGAGGGTGGGCTGGTCTCCCTGCGTCTCACCTGTCACCAGGGACACAGACACATTCAGACGCCTTGACAGAAAGAGAAGGCAGAGGCCCTTGAAGTCTCAAAGAGGAGCCA